CAATAAATTAGCAAAAAATATCAACTATAATTGTGAATAAATTACGAGAAATAACCAGCTTTAACTCATACTGTTATCTGTACAAAGAACATGAACTTACGCTTTGAAATATTGGTGTATTCTTAGCCAGTGGACTAGCGTTAGTAACACGTCACGACGTTAAGGAAAGCTCGGCGCAGAGGCTCAATAGGACGAGAACCGGTAAGACTGAAAGAAGTCAAATTTCTTGAACTAAGACTAAATGTATTCAAGCCAGTTTAATAATGAGATTTTACGAAATAACAAAAAACAATACATTATAAAGCAAATAAGTTAGCATATACCATTAAATTAGATCATATTATAATACAGTAAAAGAACGTAAAAAATTTTAAATATAAAAATAAATGCTACATACTTTCCCAAACACTTTTAACTAATAGAACGTGCGGACTCCAGGTAATGTTTGAAGGTTTATAATTTTAACATTTAAACTAGCTCTTCATTAAAAATTTCAGATCTATAAGAAGATAGTGATAGTGACATATGTAAATGGTTTTGATTCACCCGTATCTATGGTCATTCGGATTTTATAAGTTAATCTTAAACCATTAGCATTGCTGACTCCATTAAAACTCTGATTTACTCTTTTGATAAGAGCACAATCTCCATCAGAATATTTATCAAACAAAGAGCAAATAGGAACTCTCGATAGAAGGCAGAATACGGCTGGTATAATATTATAGTTGCTTTTGTTTGTGTTGTAGCAATTATTTTCAAAATCAACAAGAATTATTTGTGGAGCACCGGTCGAAATTCAAACCATGTAATATAGTAACATAGATACAAATAAAAATAACAACCAATTAGAAATTGTGGGAATCAATGACATCGGAGCACTATGGCTTAGGTGTACAGGAAGGCCTAAAAGGAGAGGGCTGGATGATGTATAAGAAGATAAAATAACAATAAATGTTATAGACTGGAAAGTTAAGTGCAGGGAAAGGCATAAATGAAAAAGTATTTCGTATCTTTACTAATGTATCTTATTCGTTTCTTCATAAATTTTTGCCGGTCTCTAGTTTTGTGGTTTAGGTATGGAGTTTTATGATGCCATAATTTGTAGATGTTATTGTATTATCTTCATTAAAAGTTTTTTAAGTTTAGACTTTTCCAAAAATCTTAAATAATTTCATTTCATTTATTTCGTTATTTTTTTACTGGTAGGATGCCTTAATAATACTATATGGCTAAACAGACACAAAAGCACTTAGATGAAGTTAGGAATTTATAAAGCCAGTGTAAGACCAATAATGACAATATGCTTCAAAAACAAGACCCAACACAGCCACAATACAAATGCTACTGCAAATGGCAGAGATGAGACTACTAAGAAAAATAACAGAAAATACGCTAAGAGATCGAAAAAGAACTGAAGATATTAGAAGAAAATGTAACGTATAGTGTATAAGCGAATCGACACTCAATAGAAAAAAAAAAAGAATGAAATAACCACACAAGCCCGCACAATGGGAAAGACCCGTGTCTTCAAAATAGCAAGAGGCAAGTCACTAATCGGCAGAAGAAGTATCGAACGACCGCGCAAAGGATGGAGTAATAACCTTCCATAGAGGTATTAATTCGCCAATGAACAAGAATTGCTTATAAAAAGGAAGAAGAAGTAAAAACATTTTTTTTATTGTCTGTAGTGAAAGTGCTTTCTTGCTTTTTATTGTAGACTAGGCATTCTAGTTAGTGTGCCTGTCGGCAAAAAAGTTTTTGATAGATTTACTTTCTCCAAAACTTTGGGTATCGCTACATTAGGACGAGTCTGACACGTTTTTCCTCTGCAATTATTTGGTCTGGGACGTTTTTTTTTAATTTGCCTGAAACATTTCACCTTCCAGATAGAAACTCTTTTAATTTAATAGCTTAAGAAATATAAGAAAAACACCAAAATAAAATTGTCTGATGATATATATAGGCCATTTAATGCGTTTGACAACACTATAGCCAACTTTATAGATAGCCAGACAATTTTTTTCGGGACACTTTTATTAATAGCAGCAAAACAAATTTTTATATTGTCTGACGGAACTTATTTTAAAATTTTCCTGTCTAAGGAGTATGATATTTCGGAAAAATTAGAGGAAAAACATCCCAGAACCAAAAAGAGACGCAGAGGGAAATCGTATTAGAATCGTAATGAAGCAATACTCAAAGTTTTGAGACAGTATCTATTATCTATTATAAACTTTTTTCTCGACGGGCACTCTATTATGGTTAGGGTTCTAGTGTTATGGATATAGCTCTCAAACTTTTTCTTAAAAAAAAACTATCAATACATTTTTCCAGCAATTTTTTAAATTGTTTCACATTATAACTATTTTAAAATTTGAACTGATAATTATTGTTAAGTCTATTATTTAAGCTGGAAGAATAAAATTTTTTAATCAATTTGTTCACGCCTCTCTTCATTTACTTTTATCCTCGTTGACAGCATAATTGTCTCTCATTAGTAAAAAATAAAATATCGAGAGGCAAATTATCGCTTCCCTTTTTTATTCGAGAGATTATTGACGGCTCTCGGATTTGCAGCTTAGCATTACAAGCCGATATTGTAGAGCTTCTTTAGAATATTCTTGGCGACGGACGGTGACTAGTCAATTGTTTGTTTAGGCTTTTGAGTAGAGAATTAGGAAATTCGAGTAATTATCGCCAGCGATGTTTGAATACTTGAGTTTAGAGTGTGTTGGGAATGCGATAGTCATGATATACGAAGATAAGGTCATTAATACATTAAAAAAAGTTTAAAAGAGAACTTACAAATGTCACGTGTGGTAGGTACTGCGTCCTTAACCAGAGGCAGATGGAATCGCCATGTGATATAACTTAGTGTGTGGTTAAAATTATAATAAATCAAATAAAATTAGTAAATTAGTATGTGAACATGTGAACTAACACAGTTTTACCGTGTATTAAGTTTATTTGTACATTTGGGCGCAACTTGTTATAGTGTGGCACATGTGTACACATTCTACACTACGTGTGGCCTAAATTTTACAGCAATACTATGGTAAATATAGTATACTTTTGCAAAATTTTAGAACGCGTTCTATTTTGTAGAACAATTTTAAGATCTATTTGAAATACATATTTCAGTCCTTTACAAATAGTTTCTCATGAATTTTGATGTAAAATAATTAAAAAAGCAGAAACACACTAGGTGTTTCGCATGAAACACAATTGTAAACGCATGCCAAAATTAGATCACTTGAGAAAGGCAATCAGCCGAAACAGCTGTAGTGATAAGAGTTTAAAATAAATTTTGCTGGAAGTTTGAAAAGAAAGTTTTCAGTGTTTTATTGTTACAGAAACACAACAGTTAAAACTTTTCTATTTAGCTTCCTATGGCTCGTTTGACGATTCACCACTAGGTACCTATATGTACAAGCAAGTATTAATAGTCTTAATCCCACAAAACTTCACTGTAGCCAACCCCTGTGCATACTCCACCTCTGGAACATTTGTTCGTCTCTCCGTTGGAAAAAGGATAACATAATTTATTACAATTATAAATTTACTTATAGGGGTTTGAAAAGGAGGACTGAACAATTACTGGGCTTGGAGATAGGGTCAGCAAATAAATCGAAACAAAGTTACATTGAATTGGGCCTTCTAACAAAACAGAATTAAAACTGTGTTTATCAAAAAATGTGGCATTAAACCTTCTTTCATCAAAACAGACTTTAAAAATATGGTTATGTACCAAATGACAAAAAAGATTTACCAACTGTCAAGGATAATTTTATTAAAAAAAACTAAAATATGAGAATTAGTTTTTACCTATATAAAAGTTATATAACTTTTAAATTGATCTAAGAGTAAATCTTTTTGTATTAATGATGAATGTTTTTTAAAAAAATTTATCAAAACTACTTTGATTCACTGCAAATTATTACTTATTACTTATTAATAAAATTAATAAACACGTTTGTTATTTTGGATTTGGATAGAAAAAGCACTGTCCTACATAAACTTTAAACGATCTAGATTCTACTCATGGGAGACACAATATGGATACTGCAGCTTAACCAATTCTAGGAGGAATTAAATACCAAAACTGGGCTTCGGGTTATCCTGGATGATAACAATATGTGTTTCCTTAAACTAGGCTGCTCATATTCCACTAAAAACGGCCAACTTAGGCTTCATAACGCTATTACTAAATTATCTGCCACAGAGAACAGCAACAAACTGGTGATTATATCACTTTACAAAGACTGCTACATAGAATTTTAAGCTTAAATCTTCTTTTGCTCCAAAACTCATGGAATTAAGCGAAAATTAAGCCGGTTTTTAAAATATTAACCGAAAACCTTGTTTCTCTGAACACATCCTGCTTTGTTCTCTTCCCACCGGTACACTATCGAATTCCCCATGACAAAATTCTTTCTGACTTTAACAATGAAATCGACTGCTCTTGTGGCCGGTACATCGCAGAGTGACTTCATCCTTAAGAAACATTCTCTTGCACGCATCAGCGAATAACTTGTTGTTTATTTTCAGCGTAAATATCTAGGCGGAACCAAGATCAATCAAAAGAGCAATTATAATTATTAAAAACAAACTTGAAAATTACCAATCTCTGAGACTAAAAAAGATAAAGAATCTTTTTTGGTGTTTTTTTTGTTATATACGAGGTGAAACGAACATGCTAAAAATTTAATTAATAAGTAATTTGACGGAAAAGATTAGTTTTACTGCAAAGCTCAAACACACAGTATAGGTAATGACGACTAATATTATATACACATATACGAATGTTTTCTGCAAAAAAATAACTTCTTAAGGAATAAATACCTCCGTCATAGATTGGATGATTTATGTACAATGTAATGAGTTTTCTGCTTGTCCTTTCAAAAGCTTTTAAAAGCTATCTTAAGACTTTTCTTTATTTAGTTTATCTATTTAATCATTATAATTTAATAAATCATTATTATTTTGTTTTCTATTTGCAGGAGTATGCACCAACGCTACAGCTCCTTCAGTAAGCAGCATCAACAGAATCCTTCGCAACCGAGCAGCAGAACGCGCTGCTGCCGAGTTTGCCCGAGCGGCTGGTTACGGTCTCTACCACCCCCATCCCTATGCCACGGCTGGTTTTCCATGGCACTCTCCCCTCTGGCCTAATGGTCCTCTTGGTTTACCTGGCCCTCCAGGATCGGGGAATCCCACTGTAATGTCCGCTTCCCCCGTTTCCTCAGGCTCACCGCATCCCGACAGCGGGCTTTTAAGTTCGCCACCGGGAACAAATTTAGATAAGGATGATTCTAGTCTCGATAGTTCAGAACAACCGAAATTTAGAAGAAATCGAACGACTTTTAGTCCAGATCAGTTAGAAGAACTAGAAAAGGAGTTTGAGAAAAGTCATTATCCGTGTGTTTCGACGAGGGAACGACTAGCATCCAAGACGTCGCTTTCTGAGGCTAGAGTTCAGGTAATTTTAGTTTAAAAATTTAGTTTTTTAAAATGTAACAGAGCAGTAACTCCTTATTTTTAAAGATAACTTTTACAAGTTTAACTTCTCTTACATACATTGCAAGATTAACTAGAAAATCTTAATTTTTACAAACCTTACAAAGTAATCACATAGTCAATAATCAATAAGTAAGATATAATCAATAAGTCAGTTCTCCTATAGGAAAGTCAGATCATGCAGTTATAACGGCTCACATCCAGTTCAATCAAATACTACCTGGCAAAAATAATATTGTAACATATGCTACTACCGAGTTTTCTGAAGTTGACACTGAACTTTCTCAAATCGACTGGCATTTATCTTTTGCAGACTTAAACGACTCCGCACTAAAGTGGACTGAATTTCTCGATACCGTCCACAATATAGTTTCTACAAATACCACATTCCGTAAGGTTTATAAAAACAACTTTAAACCCTGAATAAATCAAACAACAATAAAACAAATTATTCACAAACGACTTTTATGACGGAAATTTAAACACACTGGGCTTCTCAGTGATTTCCTAAGCCACCGGAGATTTTCAAATAACTTACAAACATCTCTAAAAACTCTAAGACAAAATTTTGAAGCAAATGTAATTGAAAGCGGTAACACTAAAAAGTAAAGTTTCTCATGTTTCACACGTTCCTCCTTGACGTGTAAAGTTTCTCTTCCTCTACTTCAAAAACCCAACCAAACTTTATGCTCTTCTAACAAAGAATATTTCGAAATTCTCTCTATAGCATTTTTGCAGGTTTTTAATAAAGAATCAAATGATGGCTATCTACCTGTGATTAACTGTAATCGTGTCGGTACATCCTTACAGAAAGTTGAATTCACAATGGATTATGTCAAACAACACTTAAATAAACTTAGCACAGCCGCTCCACCTGGTTTAGATGGTTTGACACCAAAACTGTTAAAAATATGCGTAGACACGCTTGCAACACCCTTAACGTTAATTATGCAAACTTCTCCCATCCAGAACTACTTACCCTCTAGTTGGAAATTAGTATCCGTCACCCCTATTGTTTAAAAAAGATAACAATGTCGACCCCAACAATTTATCGTCCGATAAGCTTGCTGCCAGTAGCTAGTGAAGTTATGGAAGCCATTATTCCCGAGGAGATGACCAAATTCTTTCTCCAGGAACATGTTATTCCAACACAACATGGATTTGTCTCTGGTCGCTCTACTCTGACAAATTCCTACATTGTGTTAACGACTGGACGTCAACCCTTAACAGTTCGCAGCCTGTCGACTTTGTCCATCTAGATGTGTCTAAAGCCTTTGACCGTTTACCTAAGCGTTGGATAGATGATTTCCTGACAGATCGACATTACAAAGTTAGAGTTGGCGAATATTTCTCACAGGACAGGTTAGTGGAAAGTGGAGTGCCTCAGGGTTCTGTCCTTGGACCTCTGCTTTTTACGGCTTATACCAGCAATGTTCCTTAATATGTCTCAAGTAAAATATCGTTCTACGCTGATGACACAAAAATATATGCTAATAAAATCACAAAACAGCTAACAATTCAAATGGACTTGGATTTTATTTAAACTTGGTGTTCCCAGTGGTTACTATTTTAAATGCGGAAAAATGTGTAGTGCTTCGAATTGGTAAAAATAAGCCACTTGTGCCGTACTTTGTTAACGGGCAGCCATTATATTCGGTATTCTCGCATAACGACCGCATGGTGTTATCGTAACGAGAAGCCTGTCTTGGTCCGACCATATCACATCTATTTGTAAACGTGCTAACTCCAGACTGTATCTTATTCGTAACGTAAGACTCATACTTGAATACGCTGGAGCAACGTGGTATCCTGATCTTGTTCGAGATATTACTTAATTTTCTCCATTTTTGTTTGAGAAACGTACATTATAATCAGAACACGACTAAACAAAAATGGGAAAACTCTGATGTAGATAAATAAAAACCAAATTAAAAAGGTTCATTTCTAAGTAAAACAGATTCAGTAAAATAGGCACTGTTACATTTTAAAATCTTATAATAAAAAGTTTCCTAAAGTAACTGGTAATATTACTGACAAAAGTTCTAAACAAATTATACGTAACAAACAAAACAATATAGAGTAATAATGAATTTTTTTTTTTTATTATAACTAATAAATTAACAATCAGAATAAAACAATATATTCTATAAGTTAATGTGATGAGTTTAAGTCCTGTCCCTTGGTTCTGGCGTGATGTGGTCCCCTCCAGTGAGAGAATCACGGGTCCATGTTACTGGTCTGTTGGCCAACGTCGCTTTAGTCTTCGGATAACTTGATGTTGAGGTATTGCGGAAATTAATGGGTTGGAGTGTGTGTTCACTTTTTGAATGTATTGTAATTTCTTTTGCTGGTATACTTCTTTCACTGTTGAGATATTGAGATCCTCATAGATTCGTTGGTTGGTTACGTACCAGGGTGCATCAACAATTGCTCTTAAGATTTTTGATTGACATCTTTCCATAATAGCAATATTAGATTTACTACTACAGCCCCACAGCTCTATGCCATATGTCCATATTGGTTTAATAACTGTTTTGTAAATTAGAATTTTATTATTTATTGACAGTTTGGAGTTTTTTCCAATTAACCAATTGATTTCTTTTTGTCTTAGTTGTATTTGTTTTCTTTTTTTGGTGATGTGTTCTTTCCAACACAGGGTTTGGTCCAGGTGTAGCCCTAGGTATTTGGTTGTTTTAGTCCTGGGTATTTCCTCATTGTTGATATATATTGGTGGTGGTGTTTCTCGTCGTAAAGTGAAAGTTACGTGGGTTGACTTGTTTTCATTAATTTTTATTTTCCATTGTTTTAGCCAGTTTTCAAGCTCATACAAATAATCTTGGAGTTGTTGTGTAGCTATGTTAATGTGTTTGTGACTGGTAAGTGCTACTGTGTCATCTGCAAATGTGCCAATTGTTACGTTATGCGAAGTTGGTAGATCAGAAGTATATAATATATATAATAAAGGTCCCAGGACACTGCCCTGTGGAATTCCCGCCTTAATGGGATGCATTTTAGATATTTCTCCATTTACTTTTGTTCTAAACTGTCGGTTTTCCAAGTATGATGTGAGTATTCGAAAGAAGGGTGGTAATATTTGTTTAATTTTATAAAGAAGTCCTTTATGCCAAACCTTATCAAAAGCTTGACGTACATCTAGTGATACCATTGGGCAATATTCATTTTCTTCTAATGCGGAATTGATTTTATGGGTTATTCGGTGGCATTGCTGGATAGTTGAGTGTTCTCGTCGAAATCCAAACTGAAAATTTGGTATCCAGTCTGCGCCTGTAAGGCCTGGATCTATTCTTTTTATTACAAGTTTTTCTAGTAATTTGGAGATTGTTGATAGCAGACTGATAGGTCGATAGGATGAGACTTCACTTGGATCCTTTCCTGGTTTTGGAAATAAAAGTATTTCTGCAATTTTTAGATTGTTAGGCCAATAATTACATCTTAATATTGCGTTAAATATATATGTAAGGATCACTATACCCTTTTTTGGTAATTCCTTTAGCATTTTTGGAGTTATTAGGTCAATTCCTGGTGACTTTTTGATATTTAGTTTTAAGATTTCTTCTTTAAGTTCTTTGGGTGTTGTTAATTTTATTGGATTTACTGACTGTTGTTCTGAGTTTAAATAATTAATAATTTCTTGATCTTCTTCATTGTTGTGTGGTTGGAATACTGTTGCTAAATGTTCAGCAAATAATTCGGATTTTCTTTATCGCTTCTTGCCCATTGGTTCTGTGTGTTTGTGGTTTTTCTTACTGGTGGCGATATTGCTTGAGGTTTTAAGGATGATTTGATTGGTTTCCATATTGAATGGTCGTATCTATTAAGTTGTGTTACATATTTTTTGACTGACTCTTCTCTTGCAATTTTTAGTTGTGTTTTTAATTTATTGGCTAAGCGATTGTAAAACGTTTTATCCGCTGGGTTCCGACTTTGTTGCCATTTGGCTCTTGCTCTTCTTTTTTCAGCAATGAGCTTTTTAATTTCTAGTGGAATATTTATTCTATTCTCGATTTTATTTTTATCTGCATCGTTCGGTGTCGCTTCTTTTGCAGCGTTTTGTAATAATGTCATAAAGTTGTTTGTAGCTGCTTCTATTTCTGAAGGGCTTCTTAGTCTTACATTTAGTTTAATGTTTTCATCCAGTATTTTTCGGTAAACGTTCCAATCTGTTCTAGGTCCATGCAGTTTTGGAGTAGGTTGTTTGTTAATAACGCAGGTGCTAATTGTTGCAATAATTGGTGAATGATCTGAAGATAGATCATAGCTTGGAACTATGTCCATAAAGGTGTTAGATATTCCTTTTATGATGCAAAAATCTAAGAGGTCTGGTCTTTTTTTGGGGTCCGTTGGCCAGTACGTTGGTGTTCCTGTTGATAAATATGAGTATTTATTTTCTTGCATTAAGCTATAAAGCTCTCTCCCCTTTGTTGTTATTAATCTTGATCCCCAGTACGTGTGTTTACTATTGAAGTCACCAGCTGCGATAAATTTTGGACCTAGAGTATTGAAGAAGGATGCGAAATCGGTTTTTTTAATATTGTGCTTTGGAGGGCAATACACTGCTGCTATTGTTATTTCGTAAGGTAATGAGCACACTTTAATTACTGTAGCTTGGATACAGTCTGTTATATAACTTTCCATCATGAAATGTTTAATTGATTGTTTGATCAAAATTGCTGTACCTCCATGGGCTGTCTTGTCTGGATGGTTAGTATGGTACGTTAGATATTGAGGTATTTTAAAATACGATTTGTCTGTAAAATGTGTCTCACTTATTAATAATACATCTATAAAATTTTGTTGTAGAAATATTATCACCTCGTCCTTATGATTCAGCAGGCCATTGGCGTTCCATTCTGCTATTCGTAGAAAGAATTTTATTTGCATATGAGTTTACTTAGCATGTTTATTACCATGCTGTTTTGTTGCAAGATTTGATTAAACATGGCTTTGAATTCTTCT